ATGCTACAATCGATGCTAGAAATGAGTGAAACAGTACAAATGGAAAATAAAGACGATACTGAAGTGATATTTTGATTGCCTTTTACCTATATGCAACACTACAGCTGACAGCTTCATCACACTTGCTCAAACTGCAACTCAAAGAGCGCTACAACAGTCAACTAAAGAATTTATTGCTTCACACGGAGACAGCAGTCTCCGTGTGAATGTGGTCCTAATTGGCTCCTATATAAAAGCTCAAATTGAGGACCGCATTTGTGACAAGGGTGGACCACTCATATCTCACAAATCTGGCCAAGTTCAGCAGTCTCGGCGTAAAGCCCCGCGGTGCAGGACGTCACACACAGAGCGGTGTGTCCGTACATACATAAGGCGGCCGTCTCAGGACCAGAGCACATTACGGTACCTCAGCTCACGGAGAGCGGCCGCACTACACGACAGACAGTATGATATCCCATCTGAGTTTGGCACTCGCTGCCTTCAGCGTGGTGGCGGCAACAGAGCCGATGGATCTAACCAGGGTGCAGAGAGGAGCTCTGTACATTCGGCTGCCAGCACGTGAGTTTTGACTGCTTTGTGATGTTTTTTTTTTTTTGTCAACCATCGATGGACGGTGGTATTGTTGCGATATACAAAAATGCCATCCACCCATGAGTGTTGCTGCTGAGCCACGGATGAAATTAAAATATGCAAATCGTATTGTGACTGAGCTCTCGTTATCTTCTCAGCGTATTCGACCAGCCCCAGTCAGTGTTTCGACCCGCAAGTGAACCAATACCATAACGTTGGCGATGTCTGGTCGTCTTCTCAAGCAAGATGCAAACTGAGCACCTGTGTTGAGATCAACGGCATTCTCAACGTTGAACGCTACTCGTAAGTAATCCTATCAACCATCTATTATTTCATTTTTGTTCAAGTGTAGACGATTTTAAAGTTTTTATAATGTAACACATTTCTTCACAAAAAAACAATGCCCGACAATTTTCAAAACATCAGTGCCTATCAGCTACCTACCAAAATAATGATTTTCTAGCCTTGCTGCTTATCATTCAAATCACTTCATGCCATGATAGTAAATGAAGGTCAGTAATTGAAACGAGTACGTAGAAATACAGTACAGAAAAATACAGATTCCTGTGTTGCTCATCAAATTATCTCTACGCCTTACAGATGCCCGGTGGTGAGCAAAAACATCGACTTCACCCGACTGAAGAGGGGCAACTTCTTCTGCCGTGAGGCCGCCGGTGACAGGAACAAGCAGTTCCCTTCGTGTTGTCCTTCGCTGCAGTGCAAACACTACGTGAAGGGCAAGCTGGTGCCGCTGCCGAAGCACATGTACCCGATATTGCACTGATGTGGCCTGGCAGGGACGCGCCGATCTCACAAGTTCATTTTTGTATTCCCTAGTGAAGTCATTTGCAATTGTCTTATTTTGAACGGGGACATGTAACTAGTGATTTTGTAGAGACATCTCGAGTGTTGCATTTAGTAATTAATGTGTGCCGTTCGTTATAACTCGTTTTTGTGTCTTGACAACTGGTTGGGGAAGTAGTGCTAATACCCTATGATAATGCAATGCTGGTGAGCTGAGTTGTGATCGTTTGAGTGTACAATTGCGTGGGCGTAGCGTTTAGTGTGAAGCAACGTGACAAGTCGCTGCAAATGAGCTTATATTGGGCTTGGGCTATTGAAGTGATCGTAAATTACCTCAAGCAATGATTATGGACATTTGTAGAAAAAATACATAAGTAAAAATATGTCATTCATTTTGTGTAGCTCTTCCAAGAGCAGCGAGCTTCTAGTACCATCCTACACCTTCATACAAATCACAATTAAATCACGAGCCAGTGCTATCTAATAGCATAAGTGACAGTTTCAGTAAGAATTAGCAGCTCAAGCTACGATCTACGATCTTAGCCGGTCCCGTAGCTCAGTTGGTAGAGTGTTGGACTCCGCGTGGTGAGAGCACGCGTTCCCGGTTATAACAGTCCGGGTTCGAAGCGCGACGGGCGCTCGACATTTATGGGCCTCCTGACAGGTATGGTTGCGGTTGGTGGCAGGCCGTAGCCAGGCGAAGTCAGTGAGGGGACCGGCCGTGCGCGGCTATGTGCGCATGTTAAACTTTGGACTCTAAATTCTGCCATAGAACTGGAATTGCGCGATCGGAGGGTAGAGGGCAGGGTCACCGCAACAAGCTTCGCTTAGCGGTGGCTCTGTCCTTGTGAATCCTTCCTATCAAAAGGTTCGGACTAAATTTATAAAAAATAAAAAAAAATAAAAAAAATCTTCTTAGCACCGGCTCAACATATCACCGAAAAAATAACAAATGTAAATGCCAGTTAGGGTCCAATATGTCAGATAGTGGGTGCCATGCAGCATGTTACTCGTAACTCGCTCCGTGCTGGTGGTATCGGTTTTCCGTGTTGTGCGGGGATGGGCGTTTTTTCACCCCCCCCCCCGTCTATCTCGGCTCCTTGGTCGCGTAGCGACACGTGGTAAGCGGTATTCGAAAGAGCTTCAAAAATAATGACGGAACCACCTTGGCTATTTTTAGGTCAGGTCAAAGATCAGGTCATCAGAGGTCATCAAAGGTCAAATTTGGTCTATTTCAACAACTGTTGAAACACCTGACGCATAACTCAGGAACCAATAGAGCTACAGCGCCGCGAGAAAGCGCATTTGATAGCCCTTTCACAGGCCTTTCTGAATATATGCCTCAGATTTGACCTCAGGTCAACGGTTTAGCCTGCAGAGGGCAAAAATTCACAGGAAGCCGTTTTTACAAAACAGATTTTTGGTAATAACTTTTGATTCGAGAGAGCCATGACATTTATTTTGCCAGCATCGTGTTCCTCTCGTTGAGACGCGTCGAATGAATTATAAGCTGACCTTGAAATGTCACTTTGAAAATTTGACCTCAGGTCGAGGTCATGACCTGACCGGAAAGGGACATGCTGTTTATCAGTCGATATACCTCGTCGGGCTGAGCACATCTGACGTGTTTTCACCGCTCTAGCACGTCTCTATAGTAAAAGTAAAAAAAAGCTAAAAAAAGTAAAAAAGTTATAGTAAAAAGCTTCTGGTGACCTTTCATGACCTGAGATGACCTCAGAGACACACAGAGGGGTCACAGGTGCAATTTTCCGATTCATTGTCATGTTAACCTATAAATCCGTATTTGACATTTTTTAGAACGACATTCGTCCAAAGGAGGCGCATTTCAATTTTCTCCCGTTGACTTATACCTAATGGAGAGGATGCAAAATTGACCTAACCTTAGGTCACAGGTATAGAAAAAAAACACGCAAGATAGCGACGAGCGGCAAACGGTGTTGGATAGCCCCAACAGGAAACTACCTTGTGACCCAACTTTATTGACCTAGGTCAAACTGATGGCGTCACAGGTCAGGTCAAATGTCGAATTTTCACCTTTTACAGGCATTTCAAGAAATGCGTTGTAAAATCGAGTAAAATGCATTTCATTGAAAATCATCGATGAGGAAATGTTCATCTACCACATACTTTGCTATTTGAGATCACTGATAACAGGTCAGGTCACAGAGGTCAGGTCACTGAGGGTCAAATATGAAAATATTTGATGCATGTTTTAATATGGTCCATTTTACATGCCAAATACGATTATGTGGGTCAGGCAGCCTTTGGGGTCAGTTAGATTATGTTCTGCTGAAGGTTAGGTCAAGGTCAGGTCAAGTTCAGGTCAAGGTCAGGTCAAATTAGGTCAAATTTAAAAAGTTGACATTTTTGCATCAAATGGGTATCAAATCGATGCAGCTCGTCACGGGAACTTCAACGGTGGTCTTGTTTTGCGCTACGTAGTCTAGAATTGCTAGAAATTGAGTTCAAAAACTTGACGTCATCAATTTTGAACATTTTTTTTTTTCGCTATAACTTGGCCAAAAAAGGAGGTATCGATCTAAAATTTGGTGTGTGTATAGAGGAGCTCAGGAACTATCACAAATATTCCGTTTCGTCGAAATTCGGAAAACTTTTGGATTTTTTTTGCGTTTTTCTAAAAAAAAAAACTTTTTTATTTTTGGGGTCAAAATCCCATAATTTTGAAAATCCGAAATAGCAGTGTTGTAGCGCCGCCTTTTGTCTACATGACCATATAAAGAACTTTGAAATTGCTTGGTAACTGTAGCTTTGTGAGCGTTTCAAGATTTCACGCTTTTTGCTCATTTTTGCTCGAACATGACCTCAGGTTGACCTCAATAACTCCTGACCTAAGGTGAGCTAAGACTTGAAATTTTGTGTGAAGGTGTCAAGTTGATGCCCGGGAAGGTACTGAAAATTTGGCGGCGCTACGCACAGCCGTTTTCTTGCTATTCAGGAAAAACCAAGGGGGGAAATTGCCCCCCCCCAGCGGGGCGAGGGCTAATATGCAGGAAAACTGCATCAGTCGTAGTCTACGTCCTTTCAGGAAGTCGGTCGCTGGTGCAGAAATGCCTGATAAGCTGAGGTACGAGTATAATGTTCATGGCATTGTAGCCATGCAGGCACCACTAACATTGACACTGCACTACGGTCCACAAACACTGAGTTTTGCGGGCTTATACCTGTGTGGCCCGTGTTTCGCCTTGATAAACGTAACGCTGAGGTATATGCAGCTGGCAGTGCATTACAAATTCATATAGAGAAAGCTGTGTGTTATGTCAAAGCCAAACGTAGTAAATTTGTTATCAACAGGTTGTCGTCTAAACATAAAAAGTTTTCGATAAAAGTGTGTAAGGAATTTTTGTTGTATTTACGCTAAAAACTGCCAGTGCCACCATCGAGCAAACACTACCAGTCATTCATGGCCTAGCGTAAGTCCTGCGTACCCGGCAAAACCAGTTACCTACACGAATGTGAGCGCGAAACACCTCAGGTGATTAAATGAAGACGAGCCGGATTTATGACGTGGGGGTGGACCACATGTAACTTGCTTAACCACCCAACTTTAGCGGGTCTCCGCGTAAAGTCCCGAGGCAGGACGTCATATACGGCGTGAGATTTCGGTACATAAGGCCGCTGGTCCAGGAGCAGAGCATACATTCTCTCAGCGCATAGCTCGGAGAACACGCACACAGCAGCGGAGACCAGTCATGTCTCTTCTGGCGTTCACGTTTGTCTGTTTGAGCATGTTTGTGACGGGCGAGGCGATGGATCTCACAAGGGTGCAGCGAGGATCCCTGTATATCAGACTGCCACCACGTAAGTCGGAGCTCTAGGTATTTAGATTGTGGGTTTGTAATATCATTTACTTTTTCTGTATCTATTTGAACATATTCTTGTAATAATCGATGAAGCTATTTCTTTGTAGTTAGGTATATCACGTAAGTGAAAGAACGTATGAATGAATGAATGATTCGGAATGATTGAAAAAATCATGTGCTGTATGATCCATTTCACTCATTAGGTTGATAACAGTGCATGATAGATGCCACAACTTGACACAATGTCTCTTTGCAGCGTATTCGACCCGACCCAGCCAGTGTTTTGACCCACAAGTTAATGAGTACTACAACGTCGATGACACCTGGACATCTCCTCAATCTGGGTGCAAGCTGAACACTTGCGTTGAGCACAATGGAAAAGTTAACGTCGAACGATACTCGTAAGTTATTTTTCCTCACCTAAAGTGAGCAATGAAGCATAGTAAATGCAGTTATTAATAGCGAAACCAATAAACGTTAATAATTCACCATTACAAGTACACTCGATTGAAATACAAACGGACATTTCTTCAAATGCTATTACAAAATACGCATAATTGTTGTTTGCCCTTCTCATAGCACAGACATATAAATGTAGCCATTTTGACAAAGCTATCAGGAGTCAGTGGACAATTCACCTCAATACGTACTCAATACTCATCCATACCTTTATGTTGCAGGTGCCCGGTTGTGAGCAAAAGCATCGACTTCGCCCAACTGAAGAAAGAGAACATCTTCTGTCGTCAGGCAGCCGGAGACAGAAGCAAGGCGTTCCCTTCGTGTTGTCCCTCTCTGCAGTGCAAACATTACGTGGAGGGCAGGCTGGTGCCGCTGCCAGACCACATGTACCCCACTCTGCGCTGATCTGGCACTCATCTCGTCCTGTATGTAATTTCAGGAAAGGTGCAGGTCGACAGAAATGTCAGCATCAACTGCGAGCGCACTGTTGAGCTTACTCGTATGATTATGCTTTGTGCCTTCAGCTGTGCAATGTTCTCATCTGTTATTTATGAATGAGTCAGTGTGACGAGATATTTGTGAGACATATGAAATGTGCAATGTGCCCAGACTGGGTACCCGCCTGCGTATATGCAAGCGTATACCTGCATCGCTTTGCATTGCGTGAAGAGCTTAACTGCTGCGGATAAGGGCAGTATTAGGGTAGTAGCTGAGATAATTGCAAATGTCAATTGTGACGAACAGTGAACAGAAAATAACAGAGAAACCAAATGCAGCGTATCTGAAACGCTTGCCTCGTGAGCTATGAAGGTATTTTGAACATAATATTTGACATGACGGAATCCGTAATAGTTAAATGCAAGAACAAAGTAAATTAGTAGCAACAGAGAGTAGAGCATCCATGGTCGAAACAAAATAACAGCATTGCCATCTGTCACTAGCATAGTTGCTTACGGTTGTGCTGCATGGCACCTTGGTTCGTAGCAAACAGCGTGGAGCAACGACAGATAGATGCTTGAGAATTTCGCACATTGCGTCTTTTGAGTCTGTTGCGCTCCGAAAGCTCGCATTATCAGACGTTGCCGGGCCCACACCGGCCCAGCGAACGTATATTTCCTCGCGTCGCGCGTTGCAGCTGTTCATTGGTGCAGATACGATGCAAATTACCTATATTCAAAGCAGTGTATATTTTAACAGCGCGCAATATCCCAACACACCCACCAATCCATTCTCGTGCCTTTTCCGAACACATCTAATAACTAACCGATTACGTTTTAGCTTCCTGAACTGCTTCTTATATTCAAGACTATCAGTAAGGTTAGGATAACAAACGTAAATAGATTCACGAAGACAACTGTTCGCCATTCATATACACTGGTATTACGCACACATTAAGGCATCAATAGAAGCAAACTTATAAGCTCAATTCATCAGCAGCAGTCGAGCTCGGCGCTGCTGCATACGGGTCTTGTGGTTTGTTGGAGGGGGTGTGCCGCCACGTGACCTCTTGATAGCCTCCGACGACCTCGCTATTGGCACAGACGGTTGACCCAGATCGGTCATAACGGGATTACTTTGTACGGCAGCATTACAGCAGGTTTCCTGGGCACAGTTTGGGTGGTTGGGACTGACCAGTTCTGATCTGAAGTATCTCCGTATGATTCACCCTTCTCCATGCACTAGTTTGACTTCAGAGATAATACCTTTTTTGCTGCGCCCTCATCTTTCGGTCATGCGTCCGACAACCATGCTTAGACTGTCATGGAATGCTTCAATGGAAAAATATTCCTTCGTTGAGTCACTAATCTAACCGTACGTTAACCTCCATACAGAGGCGTAAAAGCGTCATGCCAATTATAAAGCGCTGGCCTCCTGAGATGGATATTAACACACTATGTCACTCGATGCGTGTCACGGTGGTGTAAAATCGCCAACTTATCTACTATCCACTGCTTTAAATATTCGGCTCCGGACATTCCTATGTATATGCTATCTCGATCTTCTTCACTCAACACCAGACGTAAATCCCCAGATGGAAGGTGATGAGAGGGGAGTGTAGAGCAGGTATATAAAACCAACACCAGGGTTCAAGAATCACAACAGTGCCGTGTTGCTTCTCTGGTGCGAGCGCGCAGAGAAAGCATGCTGTTCTATCTTGCAGTGGTGTTTGTGGTCGGTGGGGCAGTGGCAGCAGACAGCCCAGTGGATCTCACCAGGGTGCAAAGAGGAGCGCTTTACATTCGCCTACCAGCGCGTAAGTCTTCACGCAACTTAGAACCATGTAGTTACGCTGCAAAACGACTCCATCAAGCGTAAAGAATAATCATAGAATAGCTATGGTGTTAGTTATTCCAGTACTTTGAACTTATACATCCGATGAGCTTAATTAAAAAAATAATAATAACAAAATCTAAAGACGACAAACGTTCGTTTTGACAAGTTTTCGTTCTTTCCAGCGTACTCAAGCAGTCCCACCCGTTGTTACGACCCGCAAATCGACCGCTACTACAACGTTGGAGATGTTTGGTCTTCTGCCTACTCGAGATGTAAACTCAGTACCTGTGTCAACATCGACGGAGTCCTCAACGTCGAGCGATACTCGTAAGTAAGCGCAATTTGGTGATGTTACTGGAAAAAAATTCATTGCACATGTCGCACACCAAAAGGTGGTTGCTAAGATATGCTGATAAGCCATTATTTCAATAAAGCGTACATTTTTGTTTTTATTTTGTTATAAATTTGCATAAAATGCTCTAACGCTATCATAATGTTTTGTAAAACACCATAAGCTCGGCTCTCAATCATGCATGTATTTCCTTCAGGTGTCCGCCTGTGGCAAAGAACGTTGATTTCGACCTGCTCAAGTCAGGGAACTTCTACTGTCGCCAGGCCTGGGGCAACCGGAACAAGCAGTTCCCCTCCTGCTGCCCCAGCCTCCAGTGCAAGCACTACGTGAAGGGAAAGCTGGAGCCGCTGCCCAAGCACATGTACCCCTATCTGCACTGATCAGCATTTGGATATTTTGTTGTGTATTACCTCGAGCATAACTGTGCGTTTATACTGCTCTGCTAAAGAGATTATCATCAGCAGTGATTCATGGAAATTATTGTATACTCCTCCACATCATCATATGCGGTTGTGATAGTAGTGAATGATGCACCACCCAATGCTGAACGTCATGGTGAACTGTCCTGCATGATAGCTGTGATGTCATATGCTTGTAAGGCTGTGTACATATAGTTATTATAGAATAAATATTGAATATTGAATATGCTTCACGAGTTTTCAGTTGAAGTGATGCTGATTGCCTAAGATGGAGACCATCTTCGTATATTTACATACGTACCTATACCTCATCAAAGTATTTCACCCCTTCCGACGTCCCACCGAAACACTCATTGTTAGTGGCCAAAAGAATAGCGATGACACTCAGAAACTGTACGTGAAAACTGACAGGGTGAAGCAACGGCAGTACCAAATCGCCAATGTTCGCCAATGCATAAGACGTTCAGAGCAATCCCCTGTGATCGACTGAAGAGCCTTTATCATAACAAATAGCATGCACACATGTGAATGAGTACAATAAAGCACACGGAGTTGTAGTCGGCAAGGTAATTTAATTGGAGCCGTGAGCGCAAATCCACTGTAAAATATAATTTTTCGCTTATGGAAATAATTGTGTTCGCTGCACAGCTTTTAGCGCTTGATTTTCTTCCAGAATTAATATTGAAATGAAACAAAACTTTACAATAGCTTAGACAAAACTGGCAAACGTTTAGTCACGATATACGAGACAGCGCACCTGGGTAACGCATTTACGTTGAGTAGCTAATTTTATCGCGGCTTATCGCAGCACATCATGCGCTGCCACACACACCGGATCTCAATGAAAGCGGAAATTCTCCGGCCGACATGGGTATCGAGTCATAAAGGTTTTATTTTGACCGGATGGCTCCTAAGTCTTTCCCGAGAAAATCACGTACGACACGGCGTCATGCGAAGGTCGAACACTGGTGTATAAAGGTCGGTAGTGCGGACTGGTGCTCACACTTCTTCTCACTACCTGCGAGGGAGGACACGCACCGGTCGCAGTTGAGGCAATAATAGATTATGTTGTCTCGGGTACTTATTTTGGCTGTCGCCATCGCCATGGCCGTGGCAGAGGAGCCGATGGACCTCACCAGGGTGCAGAGAGGAGCTCTTTACATTCGACTGCCAGCACGTGAGTTGACCTACCTCGTTTGGCATTCGCTACTGTATTGGAATTGAAAAATGCAAAAGCGCCCACAACGCCTTTATTGTGTTAAACAGTGGACAAAATATGTTGAAAATAAGCTTTCCAGATTTAGATATCACCATTAAGGATCATAATATTGGAAAAGATGAAATTATTTTTATATTATTCAAATGGTTCATAGGTAAATTTAACGACATTTGTGATTACAGCGTATTCCACGGCTCCAACTCAGTGTTATGACCCGCAAATTGACGAATACTTCAACGAGGGGGACGTCTGGTCGTCCTCCTACTCGGGCTGCAAGCTGAGCACCTGTGTCGACATCAACGGCATCCTCAACGTCGAGAGATACTCGTAAGTTTCACTGGATGTGACTCGTGTTCTTATTATTGTTAAGTTGTTCTAGCTTTTTGGAACGCTATATAAGAGCGCATCATGATTTTCACATGCCTCGAGAATTATGCAAAGAAAAAATATTAATTGAGTATCATGTTGTCATGCCACTTAGTTGTTAATATTACCTTATTCGTGCAGTCTGATTTCATACATATTTGTTTCTTTTTTCCCAGGTGCCCGCTGGTGAGCAAGGGCGTCGACTTCAAGCGGCTGAAGAAGGAGAACTACTACTGTCGCCAGGCCTGGGGCAACCGGAACAAGCAGTTTCCCTCCTGCTGCCCCAGTCTCCAGTGCAAATACTACGAGAAGGGAAAGCTGATGCCGCTGCCCAAACACATGTACCCCCTGCTCTGAGCTATTGACTAGGCAGCTTTAACCGATTGTGGTACCTCTCCGCCGAAATGCACTGATGTAATATCAGAAGGCTGTCATTATTCCTATCGTAGCTGTGCTAAGTTATTGATTGGAGTGCACGGTATTTATGTATGATGGAGGATGCATATACTATGCATTGGAGGGAAGTGCAGCAGCCAGTTATTTGTGCAAGTTTGTGTTACCTGTATATGCAGGCTTATGTACGTTTTTTTATGAAAATAATTTTGTATCGATGAAGCTCTCGATGACAATGTATGTATTGTATAATATATCGTATGCATATACTTGAGTTAAAGTATATTTGAAATAAACAGAACCACACATGTAGTCAGTCTGTCTCTTAACCCGGCACCGCCTGGGCTATTTCCGTACCCACGACAGCATGGGCGGGGGGTCGGATCCGACCCCCCCCCTGTTATCTCGAGAACCAATGGTTGTATCGAGCCCCGCGAGGCGGCGTTCGAAAGGTCTCTACGAGACCTTCCCAAAGCACTCTTAAGATTTTAAGATTGAGGTCAACTTTCGGGTCAAGGTCAGGTCAAAGGTCAAATTCTGGGGTTTTGCATGATTAGGCTTACGGGGAGCGGAATCGATAGCTGCTGCTCGAAACTCACCAAAAATGACCTCAAAGACCTAGTAAAGGTACCATGTGCGTATAGGGGTCATACTAAGTACGGGTCAAGGTCAGGTCAGGTCACGAAAGGTCACGGTTTTCACTTTCTGCCACATGGGCGTACGACACATGTTTTATGGCTTATTTTTCACGCCGAATCCGAATGGTAATGGTTATATGTGACCCCAAGTCAATGTGCTGGTGATAAGTGTGCATTGAAAGCATAAAAAATCGTTTATACCATACATAACTAAACGAGGGCTAAGAAAAAAGTCAATTTTTCAACTTTTTATTTTTGACATAAAAATGCACTTTTCTAGACGAGCTTTGCCCCAGGAATCTAGTGGTGCCATTCTTTTCACATGCGATGTTCAGAAGTGCCTCTAATTCACGAAAATGCTTATGACGTCACCATGCCCAATGCATGTTGTAGCTATTTTTTTACAATTTGGGGTCAAAAATCAAAATAGAAAGTTGAAATTTGGGACATCTAATGTTGTAATAGAGCTCTATAACATATATTCCGGTTTTTTTTTTTGGAAATTCTCACAATTTTGGATTTTTTAGCTATTTTCCAAAAAATATAGTTTTTTGAATTTTTAGGGGTGAAAAACGCATTTTATGGAAAATCAGAGATGGCCATTTTAAAGAACTCGTTGAGTTGCGTCTATTCATGTCCTTAATTTGCAATTTACTTCAAAGCTTGATTTTTGGCGATTTTTTTAAACATTTACCACTTTTAGACTGAAAACGCCATGTAGTTTCATCACTAAAATCGATATATCTAAAAAAATGGGAAAATTTTCTTACAAATTGCACCGAAAACGTTAAATTGATGGGGGAGAAGGTATGCCAAGTTTCAAGTTGATAGCGTAAACGGTTCATGAGTTATTAAAGAAAAAACGGAGGGGGGTCGGATCCGACCCCCCAGGCGGTCGGGGGTAATGGTCAAAACTAGAAGGAGAGGTGATGCGTGGACTGTGGAGTGAACGATTACACGATAACCACATTATGTGTGGGGGTGGCCGAACAATCAGTGTTACATAAGTGTATTAGATTGGAGACGCATGGCTGTTTTATTTCAGTTTCCTGCGTTGTTTTTGCAATGCTTTATACTATAGCAATATTTCTGTTAGCGGCTGCAGGAGAACGATATGCTGCCACACAGCCGCACCAGATTCAAGTTAGGCCGGGCACCGCAGATATTTACAAACAATCACTTCTGCATGTTTTGAAATTTAGCTCATTTTCACCGACATTCCCTGGGATGACTTGTATTTTCATGGAGAAATGACAGCTCATGGAGAAAACGGACACTGTTGGAGAGTGGAACTCCATTTGGCTGTCGTATACCATATAGGCATGTGGGTGTGCAAAACCGTCTTAGGTAAGGATCGCCTAAGAGCTGACGCAGCAGTAAAGCCCCTTATACATTTCAGGTGGGGCTGGAGGGTAGCGGCAAATATAACAGCCCGTGGCCGTTCAATGGTAAACGTTGTAAGACTGCTGGTGAGCCTGAATTGACAAAGCAGACCTACTATGAATCCAGTATTGTCAATTTTTGAATATGTTGATGTTTCTGTTGGCTAGCTTGATTTAAACGACAGCTGCTATTTGCTGGATGAGAAACATTGTTTTGCCTCTGAATAAGTAGGTACAATTACTATATACCTATAGTGCCCAGTGTAAAACATATAAATATATAATTTTTTACTTTTATATCCATCATCCGTCCTTCTAACGCAACGGACTTCCGTCAGGCCAGTTACGGGAGGTTTCCTCTTCTACATCTCCCTCCTTAGGCTACAGCACAGCAGCGAGACCCCATTCTGCTCCTGATGAGCATGGCTGGATATTCGCCACTCTGGAGGTCGGGCAGCTCCGGCAATTAGAGCAGGGACCTCCCGAGCACCGAACTGATGCCGTACGAACCGCGCCACTACATAGAGATGGCTCCGTGCCGTGGGTAGCGCAATAGCCTTCATCGCTCAGCAGCACGCTGACTGGTGGCTGTTTTGTGGCCATGTAGTCCATTCCTCGTCGGTGTATCATCTAATCAATGCTAGTAAAAGCTTCCTGTTTTTAGCACATTGCCTTTGTTGTTTGCATTATGTGTATTTATATAAAAACATTTCAAAGTGACACACTCAAACGAAGCTCAAATACACAAACTCACAAGCACACATTGCATTGAGAAACAGTAATACGGGAATTGCCATTCCAGCACCATTGGACAAACCGAGCGTCGCTTTACGACGCCGTTACACTTCACTCAAATAACTTACACTACAGGTCAGGTCATTTAGGAAGCTCGATACAGTTACACGACTTTTCTGCCAATCTGACTATTGATTAGCGGTGCAGTCTTTATGAATAAGGCTCAGAGCAGAGGGTACATGTGTTTGGGCAGCGGCATCAGCTTTCCCTTCACGTAGTACTTGCACTGGAGACTGGGGCAGCAGGAGGGGAACTGCTTGTTCCGGTTGCCCCAGGCCTGGCGACAGTAGTAGTTCTCCTTCTTCAGTCGCTTGAAGTCGACGCCCTTGCTCACCAGCGGACACCTGGGAAAAAAGAAACAAATGTGTATGAAATCAGACTGCACGAATAAGGTAATATGAACAACTAAGTGGCATGACGACGTGACGCTCAATTAATATTTTTTCTTTGCATAATTCTCAAGGCATGTGAAAATCATGATGCGCTCTTATATAGCGTTCCAATAAGCTAGAACAACTAAACAATAATAAGAACACGAGTCACATCCAGTGAAACCTACGAGTATCTCTCGACGTTGAGGATGCCGTTGATGTCGACACAGGTGCTCAGCTTGCAGCCCGAGTAGGAGGACGACCAGACGTCCCCCTCGTTGAAGTATTCGTCAATTTGCGGGTCATAACACTGAGTTGGAGCCGTGGAGTACGCTGGAAAAAGGGGCAAAATTGTATTTATTAATGCATTTCCTCTTATGGTTGCAATAAAAAGAAAAATGCTTGTAGTAGATATGAATTAAATAATGATATAAGTTATTAGATAATATGAATAAACAAGCAATGTTCATTGAACTCACGTGCCGGTAGCCGAATGTACAGAGCGCCTCTCTGCACCCTGGTGAGATCCATTGGCTCCCCTGCCACCGCCACGCTGAAGGTAACGAGTGCAAAAACCACACAGAACAGCATATTGTCGCTTTTTGCACTGCAGACGTGTTCACAGAGAGCTGGTGTGAATTAATGTGATCCAGAGCTCTCGCATCCGACTTTTATACCAGTGCTCGGCGCCTAGTATGACGCGTTACTCGGGGATTTACGCGGAGTTATGAGCCATCCCACTATAGGCACCTGAGCTTCATGGCCGAATGTTCCATGCAAGCTGTGGTTGGAGTGGAAGTGGCCGTATATATTCGTGTGGGTGGGGTATGTGTGCTCATGCATTAGAAGTATACTTATCTAACACATAATACCTGCATAAATAACGCGATTAATGCATTCAGACTTGATCTATAAAGGAAAATAGATCTTCATTCGGTAAGTGGTAAGTTTATTCGAGTGATTGAGCATAAAGATACACAGCTTTGTCATACAATTTCATCAATATCCAGTACTATAGCATAACATTTACGTCGTAACATATGTATTTTTGACAATCTTGCATAACGACACACCGTTCGTTTTGTATGCATTACCACCGCACACCATGTGTTTTTTCCTCTCTCTATGTATCTATGTAAATCCATGGTTCTATCGAATTCCCCTTGCCATACAGTCACCGATGAACGTATTCACGCATTCATCACCTTACATACGAGTATGCCAGTAAAGCACCATTCTATTCGACAATCACAGGTAAGGGTACATGTGCTTGGGCAGCGGCTCTAGCTTTCCCTTCACGTAGTGCTTGCACTGGAGGCTGGGACAGCAGTCGGGATACGCCTTGTTTCGATTGCCCCAGGCCTGTCGGCAGTAGAGGTTTCCCGCCTTGAGCCTGGTGAAGTCCACGTTCTTGGTAACCGATGGACATCTGAAATAATCATGAGCACTAATAATGAGTGTGCTAAGCAAAGAGGCGATACAAATAAATGAGTGACAGGAAATGAATGGCAGAAGCTGCTCGATAAACGCGGTTTCAAGCCTTCACACCCCATTGGTTCTATGAAAACTCTACTTTCTTCAGTATGTAAACGTTGAACATTTTTTTTTTCGTCTCCAACCTCACGAATGCTTCATTTCATGCCAAGTCGTGCCTGATTTGGGAATAAGTCCATCAAAATTTATGGTCAGTGATGTAAAAAGGACACAGAGTGGGAACTGCACCTCAACTATAATTCATTATTGACTCAATATGCAAGTAAAAGAGTGCGAAACGCGTCAAGAGACCCACGCAAATGCCCTTCTGTCATTCAGGACTCGACTTACGAGTAGCGCTCCACGTGCAGAACCCCTCCGATGTTGACACACGTGTTCAGTTTGCACGCAGAGTACGCCGACGACCAGACATCGCCGACGTCGTAAAACCGGCTCACTTGAGTATCAAAACACTGCGGGTGGCTGCTCGAGTAGGCTGGAAGCAGTGACAAGGAAGACAAGTGTTGGTTTATGCCATAAACTTTATGACATCAAAGAGAGTACTATGCTTCACTGATGGGCACGGGAAGAGCCGTACACCTATTTTTGAATTATTGCTTATCCTAAACATGCCTAAATATACGAGTGAAAATCACTTTATAATTATGTATACAAATAATTCCAACTGAAGTAAGCAGATATTCAAAGACAAGCTTATATCTAAGCATGCACTGCATGCCAGTGTAGTGTGCTATTCCTACTTACGTGCTGGTAGTCGAATGTAAAGCGGTCCCCTCCTCACGCTGTAAAGATTGTCCGACCCAGCCGTGACAATCACCTGAAGAGCCACCAGCGCCGCTGATACACGCGAAAACATGATCACGGTGCAAAAGAACACGAACGAATTCACTGAGTCCTGGTTTCCGAGTGCAACAGAGGTGCAGGGTCATACTGATATTTATACCGGAACGCAGGCCCGGCCCACATGACGCAGCCTCAATTACAACGATTTGCGTGCAGATTGCGGAAGTATGGCCATCAAAGTGAAAAAAGTAATAAAAACGTTCTCAAAGCTACGGAACTGCGTCCTGTATTGATTACAAGAAAAGTTGATCATATAATCATCAATACAGCACAGATGCATGAAACATTTCTTAGTTATCAGAAATGGTCGCGGATATTTGCGATAAACCATTCAACAGAAATGCTTTAGAGTGCCTAGACTCTCGTTTGCTGCTGGCTGTACACAATAAGCTGTGTTTTTCTACTTAGACCGAGAGCTGTGTATGGGCGGATTTTTAAGGCCGGAACCCACGCTAATCACAGCCTGTTCTGACCTCTACCGTCCCGTTGGGAAATTCTGGGATCGGTCATAAGATAAGAACGCTTTGAACGTGCTGGACAGAGTGCTAGGTATCGTAACTGGACAGAGCTCGGTTTATGCTAAAATATATGCGCTAATATAATATCTTTACATGCTGAACTATCCAGGCACGAGCTAATTTCAAATGCACATTTCTGCGATAAAAAACATAGGCAAGCCTGATTGCAGCTATACTACTCGCATATCACTCATGACCTGATGACAGCTTTGCACCTTCTTGGGCATCTGTTGTTTGATGTTGTTCTAGGCTGCAACTTTTATCATTCAGAGACCGCTACCCACCACCAGGACAAGACCACTGACCGCTGCACTGTGACGTCACGGATCGCTACTGACCGCTGATCTGACGTCATTTGTAGTGCAGCAGTAACATGAAAATTGCACCATTCATAGAAACCCTCCCATCATCTGCTCTTCGTCCCATCCACATCCTGGAATATAATCCAAACACACCACAGAAGCAGCGTAAATCCCGGTGGTGTCAACAAAAACCGAGACGCTGGACACAGCCACATATAAGGACCTGGTGCCACCGTTGGCGACACAGTCTATTCATGCGAGTGATTGATCGCCCGCTGAGAGTACTCACCATGCTGTTCCGCGTCGTTGTGATGGTGGCGGTGTTCCACACGGCTGCTACAGAGGAGCCAGTGGATCTGACCAGGGTGTCAAGAGGGGCACTCTACATCAGACTGCCAGCGCGTGAGTTGAAAAAGGGTGGGCTTTTGTATGCAATTACTGTAGGGTGACTCGGTTTCAAGCTTTACTTTAGCAACAGCTTTCAGTTAGAGTACTCGTTTTATGTTGTTTCGTATAAAAAGTGTTGTTTATCCGCTCATGAAATACTAAAAATAAGCAGCTATCTGTTTTTTTTTTAATTAGTACCTAGCAGTTAGTTTTGACCTAAGCGAGGATAACACAGCAATATGTATTTCACAAAATTGTCTATCATCCACGGACTTGGCTTACCAGTTATAACGCCTAACTCGCACACTTTTTTTCCCAGCATACTCGAGTAACATGTCGCAGTGTCTGGACCCTCAACTGAACCAGATGTATGACGAGGGTGATTTCTGGTCCTCGCCCTTCTCTGACTGTAAGCTCAACACCTGTGTGGACATCAACGGTGTGCTCAACGTGGAACGCTACTCGTAAGTTTATTTCAGCATTGAATTGTAGCTCAGCTAATTGGATTAGTTTCGTAGGTCTACGGAAGCATTGACAAAAGCAATCGCAACAACGCTGTTAAGTACCTATTGAGTTAAAAGGTGCAATTTTTATGCAAGTCTACCGTCCTTGCCGCTGTGAGTGACGAGTTCAAACCAGTTCAAATGCCAAATGTATAACGGTTTGAGACTAACGAAACTCATTACGGCCACTTGTCATTGGCTTGATGACAAAACAATGCAGTTGTGCATTGAATAAGTGTCTTGATGGATGCCAGTTTGGCAGATACATGAATTGTTCGTCAGTGGGCTCATAACGACGTAGCTCAACTCCTCTGTTTTTGCATAGATGCCCGACGGTGGACGCGAGCCTCCTGAAGAAGGAGGGCTACTTCTGTCGCTACGCGTTCGGCGACAGGAACAAGGCGTTCCCCCACTGCTGTCCCAACATCCGCTGCAAGCACATCGTCAACGGAAAGATGATGCCGCTGCCCGAACAAATGTACCCGGAAATGCACACTGCACAGTGATAGTTGACATGGCATCCGGAGACTGTCAGTTCGATATAACGTGACATGAGCCGAGACGTCGTGCCAAAGTTTGTCCTGTGGTTACCCTGATATGTGTTCAGAAGGATCCTTCCATCATATACCAAAGTGAGGCGCTTGTACGTCGCCATGCGTGTGTGTGCCTCTGCAAATGTTTGAATGTTGTTTCTGTGTTAGTATGAGCGTGTGGATGAGAAACATCATCGATAAATGTAAAAGCGCTCGCAAGATTCATTTTCTTCCGTAGAGTTAGTGGTTCATGCTATCCATCCAATTGTGTTGACTCTGAGTCATGAATCAACTTTTGAATAAATGCGTCATATTTGTTTGAAAAGATCTCTAGCATCTCCAGGAATATGAAGGCATTCTTACCCAATTCTAACCTTTACCTTATCTGGATCAGTGACCGATCTTGTTTGGCCTTATCTAGCTATATGCAATCAACTGGAGATTCTCACACTGTATTAAAGTGCATGGAATAAGCATGAGTGCGTTCTAGGCATGGTATCGTAGGTTCATAAAAGATTTACTATTCTTAAATTAAAAGTACCAATTAAAGAAAAATCGTTCGCAAAGCGCAACACTGAGCGTGAATGAATAAAAGCACACAACTATAGTTCTGGCTCTTTGGATGATGATAATCTTAATACTATCACCAGACCTAAGAAGAGCCACGATTTTTTGTTTTGTTAAGAGGCATTTAAGCGTTACCCCTAACGTTTGCCATTTTCATTTCCAATCTCAACCTTCCCCGGCCGAAGGGGTAGGGCACTCAGTTTTTTTTTTCGAGATTGCTCAGAACGCGCTGGTCCCAGAAATAGCTGAAAGTGGCACCCCCGACCTATAATTTAAGCCAGATCTTGTAACATCCAAAATGGCCTTAACCTGACCTTCATCTGAGGTCATCACCTAAAGTTGGCCACACCCATAATAAGAAGTGTATCATTTGAACCATGACAAACACCAAGGTGCCAAAATCACGGTTCTGTGAATTGTGACATTTTTTTGCAAAGATTTTCAACTATACCGAACCTATACCTTGGAGCACTTGACCTGTACTCAGAGATCACCGGCTGAACTCAACTAAATCGGGTAGCAGTTGTTACGCATCATAGCGACGCACACGCTCCTTTTACGCGGGGCTCTTCTATATGTTCAATTAAGTACGAAACGGCAAGTGTGTATGTGTGTGGGAGGTGGGGGGGGGGGGAGGGGGAAGGGGACTGTCTAAACACCGGCCCTCAGCTGCGCCCTATGTAGAAAACTGATAGGTCCGGTGAGGGTCAAGTCGAAAGGGGATGATCAGACGCCTATTCCTTGTGCAGTTTTAAACATCTATGTATGATGAAGAAGGCCACAATCAGTGATAAGGTTCGTAGTGTGGGGACCTGGTTTTATAGAAGATTGCGAAACCAATCGCGTGAAGCGCAGACAACCGAGCCTTAGAATATTTACGCATTTGGTCCCATATTGAAGCAGATCTCTGCAATACTTCACTTAAAAATGTAACAAGGAAAGCAGCAACGGCCACTCTAAGAAAAACTTGCTTATTTTTATTTATTTAAATGCATCCAGAATGGCGCGTGATCGTATGCATATTCACATGTATCTGTTTACCAACTACAGAGTAGACCTTCATTCAAAGCCTCACTTATACTGAGGCAAGAAAATCAATTTTCGGAGCATAACATTTATGTCAGCTAAACGCATGTCACATCATAACTCTCACTCATACACATCGCGTGTTGCTTTATACATTCAACTTCTATTTTACAACACTTTTACTTTGGCTTTGCAGGAAGCGGGTTGAAAATGACGCATCGATAGGCCTCATTCAGATGCTTTGGATCTAGCTTTCGATCTTCTTGTAGGGATACATGTGCTTGGGCAGCGGCATCATCCTTCCCTTCACATAGTGTCTGCAGGCGAGACTGGGACAGCAGAAGGGAAACGCCTTGTTCCGGTTGCCCCAGGCGTGGTGGCAGAAGTAGTTCTCCCGCCTCATCATGTCGAAATCCACGTTCTTTGTGATCACCGGACACCTGCAGAGGGTGAAACAATGGATGTAAGTCAATTTACACAAATGTAGGCTTCTTTTTATTTTACGGCAAAGTCTGCTCAGATAAAACTCGCTGATGGCATGACTGTTACATAATAACAGCACAAATGCGGTGAACAAAGCATGCGTATTCCTATCCATGCCTGCAGTTATTTTGTACGCGTAAACACATAAGTCGCATCAGCTTAATCACCCCGTCCATTCACTTTTGAACTAGCCATTATCATTTCCACGGTCATGCCATTGTGGTGTGTGTAGGCAGTTAGGCATATCAACCTGTGTGAAAAAGTACTCAAATTGTGCCCACCGCTATGAACTCACGAGTATCGTTCGACGTGTAGGACGCCGTTGATGTTGACGCACGTGTTGAGCTTGCAGTCCGAGTAGGCAGAAGACCACAGGTCACCCTCGTTGTAGTACTTGTTGGTCTGTGTGTCGTGGCACTGGCTCATGTTGCTGGAATATGCTGGAAACAACAAAATAAACACAATTTACTCTATGGGCAGATTTTACACGAGCGGTACGTTCTGCTTCTTTTCTGTTAGTTTGTCGGTGTTATTTAGGTTCCACGGATGTTTTACACGATAGCTATTTTTTACATTTACATTCTCATGTAAGCATGGATTACTATATCTAAGCATGTATTAACCCATTTACGCCCTTCGTTGCGTTTTCGCAACTCAAGCAAGCGTCGACGTGATCGAAGCTTGAGAAGTGTGTAAAAGAGACTAACCGATGAGACAAGTTTCAGCGTGTGTAGCATGGTTGTGCGCATGATACTACGCAGTTACAAGTCTGTGCGGCCGGTAAGTTACTGCCTAGAGCTCCCAGAGGGAAGTCGAAGGTTTTGTGAGTGATGACGTCACGAAAACCAAGATAAGTAGGCTAAGTGCTTAATAATATCGTAATGAAACTTGTGTAAACATATTCTGCAGAGTCCCTACAATAGCGTAGATATGCATTTTGTTAAGAAATAATGCTACAAAAAGGGTTTGTGACTATTTTCAAATATGACTACGGTCGCGTTGCGGGAACGCGACGAAGGGCACATCGGAAAGACAGCGGTGTTGCGAAAACGCAACGATGGGCACATTGGCAGGGTAGCGGAAGTATGAATATCAACAGTAGACTTCACTCGTGATACGCTGTGGGTTCTCTCTTTCTCTCTCCCATCTTCCTCCCTCTCCTCCTCGTTCCCCAATTCTCTCCCCCCTCTCTCTCTCTCTCTTTCTCTCTCTCTTTCTTTCTCTCTCTCTCTCTCTCTCTCTCTCTCTCTCTCTCTCTCTCTCTCTCTCTCTCTCTCTCTCTCTCTCTCTCTCTCTCTCTCTCTCTCTCTCTCTCTCTCTCTCTCTCTCTCTCTCATTTTGTAGCCATGAGGCTGTAGCGGCGGAACATCTTCAATTAAGGGGGGGGAGCACTGCTGACTTTTGGTCTCATTCTTTCCATTTCCATTTCCATGCAACGCCTATCGGGATAATGTTAAAATGGCAAAATCAAGGGGGGCACGGTGCCCCGGTGCCCCCTCCCCCCGCTCCGCCGCCTATGCCATGAGGGACGTATATAGGTATGTTTAGTGCAAGGTGCGTTCGCACGTAAAATGTTGCGACACATTTCATATTTGCTGGCTCAAACAGCCACAAACACTCCTTTCTTTTTCTCTCGCAGATTTTCGGCCTCGGGCTGTTCGTTCACTAAGCAATGTGTTCCCATGCATCTGAAAATCGCATGGTATAGGAAAAGGACCCATGCATCAAACGGTCGGCGATGCTAACGGAGCTGAGAGATAATTAGGTCCTTTGGAAATTGGATCTACTTTGTACATTGTGCATAAATAATGAATAACGGGGATGTATTCTGGTATCAGGCGACAGATAGGCATCGCCATTCTCGGGATAGAATCTGCTGACTACCAGCATTTACGTTAGAAAAGATAACTGAGGGTCGGCAAATAGTGGGATAGGCCCCCTCTGAGGGTAGCTGAGCCCTTCGGCAGGGGCAATGAGGGCGGACCCATGGTAAAATAATAATTTTTAGGATTCATAACTCGCATAGATTCATAAGCTGCTTGATGTGGAGTATACGCCTGTTTTCTTACTTTGATAGGCTTTTTATCTAATCAGACCATTTTTAGAGCTAGCAGGATTATTGGAATTAGGGGAGACATTTGTCTGACCGGACACGGTCAATTGTAGACTGGAGACTGAGCCCAGCCAGTGGGCAGCCGCCACCCATGACCCACCCCCTTCCCCCCTCCCAAGCACTCACTGCACCCGGCTACAGGCGCGCTCCTATGTGAGCTGCCCGATTGCGATATACGTTGCCGGTCCAGCCCGGAACAGGGGGATGAGGCGTGGAGGAGGATTCAACTATCCTGAAGATGGAAAGGACGGATTGACGTCGAATCACCATTCTGTCCTGGCATTGTCTCGAGAAAGAGGTTACACGTGAAGGTCGCTGAGAGTGGGGCCATGAAAATTTTGGATTAGGTGTAAACATGATAAACTGGGAGTCGATTTGTTGTGATGCGCTACGCCTTACGCGGGTAATTTGTTAGAGCCGGATCGGTCCTTTTTTCTTTTTGCTGAGAGTGGGTACGACTAACTTGCAATGGAATTTAACTTTACTCCTAGGAGGGTTGTTAAAAATGATTGCGGATATACGCGCATACGAGAGGCACTGGTTTACTCCCAATCCTCCGTTTAATTGTATTCAGTGTGCACTGTGCAGGGTCTGATAGGTGGAGGTAATGGATCTGTCTAGCTTCCAAAAAGAAAGCATCACCCTGGATACGTGTCGACCACAACTTTAAATGAACAGCAATGGACAACGTAAATGGTTGATAATGACCGTGTTGCCATCTCCCCGTTCGCGAATCATGAAGTTATGCTTCCTCACTGAGGCTCTTAGGCGGGTTATAGAGCATGACGGATGTGGGTTCCGCATTTTCAAGCAATAGTTGTCAACAGTTGATTGATGTTTTGTCAAAACATATTAGCATATACGGCAGTTCAGTGTACTTTATGTCCGTCTGATGTGCCCGTCGTTGCGTTTTCGCAACGCTGATGGCGCCCGGTGTGCCCTTCGTTGCGATTTCGCAACGCATGTTTTTTACGTTTTTCTCGAGAAACTTTTGCTGCAGGCAAAAATTATTTTCGATTCCATACAAGGCCGTGGTAGGAGCATAACATATTTTGATTTCGTCGATTTTCATGATGGTCAATATTCCTGGGCATAAATGGGTTAAATGTGACGGTTCTGGTACAATTTGTTTAAAACTACCTAAATCTATCAATTGATTTTTATACTCAGAGACAGCAAAATACTTCAAGTAAATCAATGAAATGAAATATACGTGTATCAACTGACATTGTACAAATAATGTCAGAACAATGTCACAACACAACACAAACATTGGGAGGACTCACGTGCGGGCAGGCGGATATACAGCGCTCCTCTGGAGACCCTCGTTAGGTCCATCGGCTCGTCAGCCGCGGCCGCCTGATGCACCGTGAGCGTGAGCAGCAAATAGAACAGCATGGTATCAAATCCACAGTACCAAGGTGTGCACAATGGCCTCTCTGGTTGGGTTATGATTGCAGTGGCGCTGAATCGTCTTATATACCATCACACTGTGCACTGTTTTTAGGTGGCGGTTGGGATTTGCGGGGACATTTTGGGATGAGAGGATTATCCATGCTTCTGGAGAGTGGACTTTAATCTGCTCCCCGCGTCGCGAACCTGTCCCCAAAAATGAGCAGTTGTGTCAAAACAATGACAGTGACCACTGCGACTGTTCTCTGTTATAAGTATTGGCATTCCATGGTTAGAGAAAACGAAGAAAACCGAACAAACTTTTTTAGAAGATAAACAACGTACTACGCTGTTATTTTCCACTCAAATGCGTATAGACGTGGGCTCGTCATTGGTAGCAGCATTGGTGAAGCCAGAAAGGAGGCCGGGACGGTGCAAAAAGGGGGGGAATGGGGCATAGTCCCGAAGAGGCTTTTCAGTATCCAAAATACCCGTTAATATCGCTTTGTAAAGGTTCTGGTGTGCAGGTAAACATCCTTTTTTGATTAACGCTGCTAAGCATTTTTCTTCTTCTTTAAAACGAAAGCGCTAACATTTTATCGATTTTGGACGTAGCGGGATGTGTTAATTCGCCCTAAATAGTCCGCCATGTGAGTGGAAAATCATGTTTCTAAAAGGAGATAATTGGTAAGAGCTCGAGCTAAGCTTGCGACTTGTAATCTTCAGCTGTAATTTGTAGATTTTAGAACTAAATTTAGATTGGTGTGGAATTGGAGTGTTTTATAGTTCAATGGTTCAATGAGAAGTGATTTAATATTCCTGTAAGTATATCATATTATAAGAGAATAATTCACATCAAGCTAATAATGGAATACCTACCCAGTGACCCACTTTATTGTGTATAGGGGGTATGCCGCACTAATGGTATGCACGCTTAAAAATATATGGTAAACGTATGTATCCTGCGGGAAGGGAGCCTATAAGTGCTTCGTATCGTATTTCTAAATCAAAGGTATTTGTGAGCCAGGCTAGATCACAAAAGGTGCAAAAATTCAAAAGCAAATCTAATCATGTGATTGGACAATTATGGTCAGTCATACTCCGCGCCGGGACGATGCTCGGCGCCAACCGCGCCGGGGCCGGGTGTGGTTGACCCCCCCCCCCCCCCACACACACACCTAACTCGGCTCATGGGCCACGCAGCCACAACACGGAACAGGCGGCATTCAAAAGAGCGTCAAATATCATGAATATAATTAGTCATTTTTTGTCCTCATTTCTTTAGGTCGGGTCAAAGATCAGGTCAATGGAGGTCATCGAAGATTAAAGTTTGTCTATTTCATTTTTTTTTTTGACAAAACGGCGCATAGTTCGGGAGCAAATTTGACTATGACCTCGGATTTAACCCAAGAACAACGGTTTAGTCTTCAGAGAGCAAAAACTATTAACCCTCGCCGGCCGAGGGGGGGGGGGGGCGGGTGCCGCCGCCCCATAGGTTTTTTTTTCGCGATAGCTCCGAACACGTTGGCGATAGAGAGCTGAAACTTGACATACCTGGCCTTTGATTCAAGCCGGATCTTTTGACACCAACCGTATTTTCGGGTCAGGTCAGGTCACTGACCTATGACGTCATAAGTGAACCTCTGCACGGTCTTCAGATGTCGCAACTTCGCAACGCCCTCACTGCCAGAGGAGATGTCACAGGGAAATGAAACTTGCAGCATCTAGTATTCATTATGAGTCTCACAGCTTGTATATCTCGGATTTTTCCTAAAGGTCATATGAGGTCAGGTCATTTTCGTGACCTACCTCACCATTATAAGTCAATGGGGAAAATGAAATTTGCTATTCTGGCGCCCGGAACGATCTCCAACTATCTCAAGCACACAGAATCGTGATTTGATCCACTCCTTGCGAGGTCACTTTTGCAATGTTGACCTTGCGTGACGTCATTTATGACGTCATCAAGGTCATATTAGTCTTTTGTCAATAACTCCCGATCAATTAACCCTCGCCGGACCTATTGGTTTTCTACATACGCGCCGACCGAGGGGGGGGGGCGGGTACGACCCCCCTCGCCGTTTCGCTCCTGGTAGAGCTAGCGCGTTGCGGAAAAAACGAGCGTGTGCGCCGTTACGAGACGCAGAGATTGGTACCCGATTTTAAGGTCCTAGGTCAACTGGTGACCTTTGAGGTCAGGTCAAGTGCCCCAAGGTACGGTTCAGTTTTTGGTGAATAACTTCGCAAAAAAACGGCCGCAGAGCCGCGATTTTGGCAGCATCGTGTTTGCCTCGCTCAGGCGCGTCGATTGATATACTTTTTGTTCGGGTCAGGTCAACTTGGGGTGTTGACCTCAGGTCAAGGTCAGGTCAGCACCCTCAGGTCACGAAGCTGGTCAAAAGAGGTCATGTGGCATATCATTCAATTCGGCAGGTCTTCCTGAGGCTATTGGTGGCTTTCCCAACTCGCTAGCTCAATGTGATCAAGAGTTATTGACGAAAAACTAATATGACCTTGATGACGTCATAAATGACGTCACGAAAGGTCAACATTGCAAAAGTGACGCATCCAACCTTGCAAGGAGTGCATCAAAAGACGATTCTGTGTGCTCACTGGCGGATCCAGACTTGCGTTTTGGGGGGGGGGGGGGGCCAACTCCTGCAAGTAACCAAACCTAGGGTACCCCCAAATCCTGTTTTCTCATCGGATTTAGGCCACTTATTTTTTCGTCACAGCCCTGAAACGATATTTTTTTAAACTAAAAATAAAAAAAATATAGAAATGGTAGCCCACCCAACCCGAGCCTAAATACTACTTTGAAAACACTTCAAATTGCTTTTGTCGACCAATTAGCCCGCTCCGGGTCGGTGTGTGGCGCAGCCTTCGCGGGCTGGGAGGTGTCGGTTGGACCCCCTGCCGTTCGGCCCCTGATTAAGCTAGAGCTCGCGGAAAAAAAAAAACAGGCGTGTTGCCCGTGAGTGACGAGACGAAGCCGATGATACCCGATTTTAAGGTCCTTGGTCATTGGTTGACCTTCCAGGGCGGTGTTTCACGGTCGTGCTGACAGCCGCTGACAGCGCATTCTGCGAGCTAAGGTCAGCCTTCGGTAGTGTTGTGGGTATAAGCTTGTTGATGTCTCCATTGAAACCAAAAGTGCCATCAGCGCTGGCAGCGGCTGGCAGCGTGCCGTGAAACACCGCCCAGGTCAGGTCACAGACCCAAAAGACGGGAAAATCAGGACCTGTCAGAACCTCCTAAAGTAAGGCTGTAATACGTTTTTTTGTGCTGATCACAAATTTCATGTTAGTTTGGATCATAGATAATGTCTTCATGCGTTTAGGCCATGTCGGGGCAGGTCAGGTCAGATCAACCAGTAGGGGTACTTATGGGCGTCCGTATAGCAGGTGTCCACTACCACTGGCAGCTACGTAACATGATACGAAGGCATCAAAACTACTTCGTAAATTTTCAAATGGCTGCAAAATGCTAAATTCAAAATCAGCTAAACGAAACTATCCTAGAAACATGTTAAACTCGGAAAAGTGCACCGAGGTCATCAAAGGTCAATGACCTGACTTGACCGTAAGGTGACATTGGCATCCGCCCTAATGCGTGGGAGCAACATCATATCACATGTTTGAGCGTTTTAAACCACGAAAAGACTATAAAAGCGCGGATAATGTGAGCCGACATACGCCGAATCGCTATTCCGGCCAAACATGGCCTCCAACATGGCCAAACAGTCTCGAGAAATAGGCCACAAGTCAAAGTTCACTTGGGTCAGGGTCATGAAATTTTCAGAATTTGTCACCATGAGGGTACTAAAGTTTCGTCGCGATCGGCTTCATGATACCTTACACGATAACTTCACACGTCGATCGAGAGTTAAAGCATGGATGAAGGAGAACCTGGGGATGAAGGTTCTTTCATCCATGGTTAAAGTGTGCAATAAGAACTTCTTGGGTGAAGACAAGACCAACACTTTTATCAAGCTCACAGATTTTTAATGATACGGTATTTTCTCTACCTACTACGCCCTTCTCACATTCATTTTTCTTAAGTGTTTTTGGGGACAAAAAATATATGTTGTTCCCCTTTCAGGCTTGGGGGCATGACCCCGTGGCCCCCCTGGATCCGCTAGGCCGAAACTAACTAGGTCGTTTTCAAACGGTCTGATATTTCAGGTCATAGTTTGCAAACGGCCGGTGTTTTCAGGTAGTTTCATATGGCCTGACTGGGCCAGGCCGTTTGCAAACGGACCGAATTTTCATACGGCCTGTAACATATATTCAGATTTCGACATCTGTCGTAGCATCAAATGCTGATGTGGCGCACTCAAAAGCCGGAATTGGTCCTTGGATGCCGTAAGGACCCTTTAAAGAAATAAGTGACCCGACTGACCCTTAGAGATTGGCCTGAGCTGTGACCGAAATAAGTCTTTTACCGTTTCGCAGGAAGGGACAAAAAGGTCCCTCATATGCTTCTTGTGCAATTACGAAACAAAACAATTTTTATCAACGAAAACTCAGTGAGTTTTCCTAAAAAAATTATTGCGCATATTTCGTGAATGAAAAGTTGCGGGTCATGTCAGGTCAGGCTGCCACAGCAAGTTTGTTAACTTGACAGCTCAATCGATATTTATGCAATAAGACCTTCTCGGGTGACGATAAGACATGACGACACTTTATGAAGGAAGCTAGTAAAGTAAACCCGGTAGTTTCTCCATAGGCGCGGGAACCGGGGGGAGGGGGCAGTGGTGGCAGCTTGCCCCCCCCCCCCCCAACTCTGGGGCCGTGCGGGCGGTGCCCCCACAACTTTCAGACAGAATACCGCTCCTTTTTGCAAATGTTTTCTTTTTTTGTTGAAAAAGCCAAGGGATGAAAAATAAGCGGCCTAAAACCGGCGAGAAAACTATATTTGGGGGATCCTAGGTTGATCTCTATCATGGTGTGACCCCCCCCCCCCCCCCCCCCGTCTAAAAGTAGTTCCCGCGCCCCTGGGTTTCTCTACGCTATTGAATCACGCTGCTGATTCTAGTAAGTATCTACTACACAACCTTCTCACATTAATTTTTCTTCGAGCGTTTTGGGGGGCTAAAAGATATGTTGGCCCCCTCTTTCAGGCTTTTTGGGCCCATGGCTCCGGTGGCCCCCTTGAATCCGCCAGTGGGGGCGGTGCCCCCACAACTTTCAGACAGAATACCGCTTCTTTTTGCAAATGTTTTCT